TTTCTCATGTTTTGGGTGGTTTTTTAATTTCCTAGTTCAGAATGAGCTGAAACACAGCAAAACCAGAGCAAATTCTTAAAGCAAAGAATAGTGATGGTGAAAAGATCACAGCTACAGGACAATGATTCCATATGGGTGCTCCAGCAGGTCAAAGATGTAGCTTTGCTGGTTTTATGATGAGATTTTCAAGGGTTCGCTTTTCACTTTTTGTTACCTCAGAAAAGAAAGTTAACCAGACTGGCAGGCACAGTTAGGGGAAGCGCTGTTTCCCTGAAGGACCTAAGGTGATACAACCAGTGAAACTGTAGCTTCGAAGCTGGGAATAACGAAAGGCCTTTGAGGAAAAGACTAGCCTGCTTCAAAAGTACACCTGACAGTGACTTTGCCGTCGGGCGGTGTTGCCGAAGTGGTACATACTGGACAAAACGGGGCCTGAAACTGAAGCCACCGAACCGGCTCTCAGCACTTACCATGTACCGGTGGGCCAGGTGACTGCCCCTGCCTGACACCCCTGCGTGACGAGAACTGCAACGGGAAAGCTCCCTAGCGGGCGGGGCGGGGCGGCCCGGCTCGACTCCGGTTCGGGAGCTCGCCCTCGCCAAGCAGTGAGCGGTACCACTGCGAGTCCGCGGAACGGCCGAGCCGTAACAGAGCCGGGACAGGCCCCGCCGCCAGCCCTGCCACTGCCTGTGGTCAGGCCCGCACCGCTGGCCCTCACCTGTAGGCGCTGAGCAGGGCCTTGTTCACCAGCACGATGAAGAACGAGCACGTCCCGTAGAAAAGGGCTGAGAGCACCCTGGGAAGCGCCGACGGGGCGGCGCAGCTCGCCGCCTCCCCCACGGCCTGTCCGGCGCTCATAGCGACGAGGAGCTGCTGCGGGCAAGGCTTCACCGCGGACTGCACTACTGCGGCCAGCAGGGCCGCCGCCTCTCCTCTCGGGCCCAGCCCCGAGCAGCGGGAACCGGCAGCGGCGGCAGGGCGCTCCCTGGCGGGGCGGAACTCTGTGGGGAGCCCTGGTCAGGCCCGCCGCAGCCCCACCCCTCTCTCTTCCCTCCGACCCAGCCCCGGCGGCGCAGCCAGCTGGGGCTCGGCCAAGAGGAAGGGTACGAGGCGTAAAGCCGAGCGCGAAGTGCTGCCGCCGGACGCCGCTGCATCAGGGGGGCGGGTTCCCAGGTTCAGCCGCACCTGGGACCATCGTCCGACACCGGCACTAGTGTCTACCAGCCTGGTGGGAAAGGAGCTCGGCGCCTCTGGGCACCCGCCCTCAGGCAAGGAGGAGGCTCAAAGCACCCAGGACTGCAACACACCTCGGCCCCACACCGCTTGAACAGGCCCGGCCCCTCACGGGTTTGTCAAAAAACAAACAAACAAATAAATAAATAATAATAAAAAAATCTTTCCTCACCAAAAAAATGTGTTTTGGCAGTTACCTTGCGTCAAATTTCAATGAAATGAACACCTCCATCCTCTCTGTGACAAGCCAGGCTGGCAGGCTTACAAGAACGAGGAAGCGCCCGATTACATAACAATTATCAAACAGCACACACTAAACGTGAAAATCAAACCAACTTTTTATTCAAAGCTTCTATTTAAATGACAGCACATCCACTCATCTGCTGTTAAGTCATGCCATACTACAACTTAATCTTTCAAAGCACTGAACAATTCAAGATTCCTTGCATGTAATCACTCCTTAATAAAACAAAAAGCAGTTTTTCCATATTTGTTTTTTTTTTTACCTGATATTTTATCCAAAACTTGTCACAACACAAAACTGCTTCTGAATTTTCCTTACAGCCAAGTACAATTCAGTGTAACTTGTCAGATCTGAAGAAATACTCTGTGAGTTGCCCAAAGCATTACAGCTGACTGGGGAAAAATACTAATGTTAAAGAAAAAATATTAAAAGTCAATGCTATGAAGTTACGACTCCAGTCTGCACCTGGCTGGTAATTACACAATCTTGTGCCCTGTGAAATTCTACATGAGATCAATTCTGAATGATGACTCAGAAGTGCAACAGATTTAGGTTCAGGTCTCATTTTGGGATCAGACTATTTACATGCAGCCAACTAAGCATTCAAAAGCACATGATTTCAGAGGCTCCAAACCTACACATACAAACTTTAAGTTTAATACATAGGCTGAGAAGACTACAGTGTTTCACACCTTTAAGCCTGAAAGACTTTAAACAGAAACAAATGAGCCTGACATCTGCTAAGTTTAGGAACTGAAAGCAGAAGGTAAACCGTATCACTGGTGCAAAATTATTTACATTCAATGATTTAATTTAATTTTTAATTTTCAATTACTCTTTACTTAAGTGCATCAATATATGACTTAAAACCAAAACAAACTGGGTTAATGAGATTTTCAACCACAACAGGTTATTAGAGAACATGACCCAACAGATGCAATTCCTGGTATAAAATCTCACTGCGTTTCTGGAACAGCTGTATGCATCTGGTCAGTCTAATCAAATGATTGGTAAAATTGTTTCTTCCTTTTGTATAAGCAAGAGGGAAAGTGACTTCCCTTCTCATCTGAATTTCCTGACCTTTACCAAGAGGAAGGAATTAAAGCAAGCAGGTCAGTAAATACAACTTATTTTTTTTATATCACTTTATAGGGATATACAAAAATAGCCCCTTAAGCAGGAGCTTGAAGAAACAATAATAGAACCAGAAAAACCACATAAAACCACAATACAAAAAGTCTGATCTGAAAACAGATTTTAAATGACTGTTACTAAAAAAAGTCTATTAGGAATCTCTGGTTGCCTTCAAAGCAAAATACAGAAAATGATCACCATGAGACAATCCTCTTTGAAAGCATACAACATTCATGCAGTGACAAGATACCCTACTGAACATTTCTTATCAGCATCTGAGTACTAGGCAGCATTCTGCAACTTCATTTATTTTGGAAATACATGAAATCACACTGTTATCACGCTTGTAACTATCTTTGGAAGTCTATTTCCTAGTTGTATAGTGAATACTTTTCTGCAGTGTTTAATTGATAGCTGTGCTACAGTTAGTGAACACAAAACTGGCATGTTATCCTGAAGTAAAGCAATAAGGTGGCTTTATGCACGGAAAGTACGGAGGCTATTTGCTAATAATCACATAAAAGCAATACTTTAGAACTTAGTGTTTGCTTATAGGACTCCTAAAATAGTTTACTGCAAATCCATACCACCATGTAAATACCCCTTTAGCAAATTCAAGTGCCAAATCACTACAGGGTCCAAAAATAGCTGAAAAAAAAAAAAAAAAGTTGCCAATTCTTCACCTTTGTGTAGACTTTGCAAGCCTAATCATTTTCAGATAAACCCAACAATGTGCAAAAGTTCCTAACATCACGTTAGGATTAACAAGTGCTACCAAGAGATTCTGCTGAAATCAAATCAGAAAACGTAAAACAGCAAAGTCAAGCCTCATACCTTGAGCAGTCACAGTGATGATCCCTAATGATCTTATGGTTTCCTGCATGAAGCAGTTTCTTTCCTTCTGAAAGCTGAGATAACCAAGCTTTTTGCTTTCCGCCTCAGTGATACTAGGTAAAGATGTACTCACACCAGAAAAATACGGTTTCATTGCTGCTTAACAACATCTTCAGACCTACCACTTAATATAAACTTGCTTAAATAGTCAGATAAATACTTTTCTTTTTTTTGTCAGGCTTCTTTGGCCACATGTACCATTCTGCTAATCGCAAACACTTTGTTTAGAAAGTGCTTCCTGTGAAAACTGCTTCAAATAAATGAGTTAACCTTGCAAAATCTAGCTCCCCACAACACATACATTTGTCAACCCTGCATTATGCATTCCTGTATTTACAAAATACTTAGAAACTTTACAACTATCTTTTACCTTAAAAAAAGTGCAATTCTCTCACCCCATGTGATGGGGCAACAACATTCTTCATAAATTCTACAGAATAGCAGCCTATGACAAGCAAATAAGGTGCTTAGCTTATTTATACTCAGGATCTAACTGGTTAAATACCACCAGTAAGTACATTTTGTATAGGCAGACTCTGTTCTGATCTACTGTCGCAGCGGTGCCACAGCTAGGTTTGCAAGCTCAATAAGAGCCAGTGCGCCATGCATGCGTTCACGCTGTTCCTGGAGGCGGCGGCGAGCAGCTGAATGAGCGCTGTTTTTCTCTTCTTCATCATCCTCTTCATCAGACTGAAGATATTCCATGGGGTCCTGCTGCTCCTGATCTGTTTTCTGTATTGTTTTACTTTTCAAAGCAGGAGCCCGCTGTTCTCTGGTCTCCCAGTATCTACAGAATTAAAGTTGGTAAACACTTTTAAAATACATGCAACTGACTTGCACACCAAGTCAAAGCTGGCAAAAACGTCCCATTATGAGTACTAGTTTGCATCTGACTAAGCGCTGCATTCGACTGTATCTTTCAGTCCTTATATTTCAGCTGTCAGAAACCTCCTTTATTTATTATTTTAATTGTGAAGTGCCCAAGTGAACATCTGTGACTGATTTCTTCTCTACATGGCGTTCCCAGCAGACATTTCTCCCTAGGCATAGAAAACTGTTACCCCTTATACAAATGCAAATTCAGCAAGACCCTAGCACTAAAACCAAGGTGTTAGCAGGTGTTGCTCAAACAAAGAAAAGTATTTAAAAAGAGAAAAAAACAAACCAAAACAAAAACAAACAAACAAAAAAAACCCCACCCCCCCCCCCATAAAACCCTGTCGCAACAAAAAAAAAAACAATAAAACCCAACCAACCAACCAAAATAAACAGCAACAAAAAAAAAAGATCCAAATAAGCCTTATGAGGAACTTTGCCTTAACTTGTAGTTTGCTTCTTTAAGGAAAGGCAAGGCCAGACTGATCTGTACTGCAGGAACAGCTGCTTTTAGTTTGTTAGAGGCTTTTTTACCCCAAGAATAAAATGCTTTTCCAGACCACCCGTGTAAGTACTTAGAGAAAGATGACACAGTGAGGGAGGGAACTTACTTTGCTAGCCACTCAGCTACAGCTTTATTGTCAGCCGTCTCCTTCTTACTCAGCCTGTCTGTAAGCTCTTCCCTCTTCAGTCGGGCATACGGATGCTTGGGGCAGTGACGGTTTGCATGCGTGAATCTGCTTAAACATCCTTAAAAAACCCCCACAAAGTGATAATGAAGAACATGTTACAGAAAGCAGCCAAACAACGAGTAAGTGTATTATCTGTGGGATGAAGCTGCTGCTGAATCCAGCTTTTCTCACTCATAAAACCCTAGGCTTGGATGAAAACAGCAAGCTCTAGCTGCGAGGTCAAAACATGACACATTTTATACATTAGTATCGAGCAACAGAATTACTGATAACCTAATTTCATAACAAGATATGCAATCCTTAGCTACATATCTGCATGATTATGCAGATTTTTGTATGGTTCCTTTCTTCCTAAAGATCATCCAAAATTAAAATCCAAACCTTTTATGGATCTTTGCCACATGAACGTGCTCCATGTTTCCGGTACTGGACTAACCCTAGCCTGAAAGCTAATATCTCCCTACGGCTCACCATTCTCTGAGCAGACGAAAGGTTTCTCCCCTGTGTGGAGACGCTGGTGGGTTTTGAGCTGTCCACTCTGAACAAAGGCTTTCCCGCAGTCTGGGTAGTCACACAAATAAGGCCTTTCACCTTAAAAATAACAAAAGGACAGAGTTATGAAAGCTGAATATAAAAAGAGGATTGTATGTAGTGGTGGTACCTGATTTAAGACAAGCAAGCTCCCATTTTACCCACTCAGACGCCTGTACCTACTTAGAAAGCCCTGGTATACCAAATAGCAGAGGCACACTTTTACCCCACAGAAATCTTTACTTTGAAGTACATGCTCAATGCTACTGGATAATACAGCTATTTCTGGGGGGGGAGGGGAGGGGGAAGAGGAAGAAGGTGTATATATACGTATTTTGCTTGTCCTATTTTCTGATTAAAGCCTCTTGCACAGAGAAACTTATTCCAGACTTAAGCCAATAAAGTTTTCTTATGGCATTCATGAAGGAAGAATTCCTCATGCAAACTGCAATGATAAGAACAGATATAGCAGGCATCTCCTCCCTCAAGAGGATCTGACTGTGAGGAACTATGCCAGGGCATGCCATGCCATCACCTCTCAGGAAGGATGACCAAATGAGTATGATGCTAACTTACTAAGTCTGAGGAATAACACCAAGGTATGCTCTGCTCAGTTAAGTAGTTCAGACACCTAATGTAACAAAATGAAATAAAACCTTTTTTTGACCGAAAAGCACAGGGAAACTCCTGTTCAATATCAGTATCTACCTTAGTTTTAGTGACTTAAGTCAGAAAGAGACCATGTGAGCTAAGGGTTTTCTGAAGTCTTGCTTTGTTTGTTTTTTGCTGGTTTTCTGTTTGTTTGTTTCTCATTTTGGGGAGGAGTGATGATGATTGTGTCTGTATTGTGAGCTGCATTAGTTCACACTCTATTGTAAACAGAGTACTGGTGGAACAGGAAGAGGGTAAAAAATATGTTTACTTGGATTAAAAAAATCCAGCGTCTCCAGTGTAGTTCAAGCTCAGCTGGGTATTAAGTAGCTTGATGCTACGTTTTAGCTTAACTGTGAGTTGCCTCCTGCAAACAGCTCATTCATTAATTTGCACTACCACCTCCACCGGAGAAAGTGAATTCTAGGGAGACACAGCTATTTTTGAGCATTTGAACTCTTTCCTCAACATTTAAGCTACACTTCTAGAGTGTTAACAGTGTCCCATCATAGTTACCAGCCCCTTTTTAAGTTACTATTTCCTCTGCCAGCTAAACTTCCGTATCTCTGTGAAAAATACACCAGCAAGAAGGAAACAAGTAACAGAGAAGAGGCAGTGAGAATAAAAAGCGCTACATATATAGAGCACCACACTCAAGAAAAGCCCTCCCTCTTACAAAGTAAGTTCATGACAGCAGCACATGAAATATTTACACAATTTGGTTAGCCAAATACTACGCTTTAGAATACTACGCTTTCCCATGACAAATACTGTTACAAAGACATCAATTACACTAACTAAGCATTGAAAGAAAAGTATGATTCATTTAACAGTTTCAATAAAATATCAACAGGTTGAGTTTGTTGGGGGTTTTCTGTGGTTTTTTGGTGGTTGTTCTCTTTTTTAACTCCTTCCCTGCTGCTTCCTACGCGGCTCACACCTTTCTACTCACCGGTGTGCGTTCGTTTGTGGGCCTGCAGAGATTTCTCTCGCGGGAAAACCCTGTTGCAGATATTGCAGCGTATTCTGCTAGAAGAGTGCTCTCCTTCGCTAATCAGGTGGCGGACGGTGTCTGCTCTCGGACGGCCTCGCCTTAGCCCATCCTGCATTAACACAGCGTGGAGCTGGCATCCCGCACGGTCCCACCGCTGCGGTGTAACCAGAAACACGCAACTTTCCCTGAAGTGACTTTTGCGTCGCGCCTGTGTGGCCGAGGGGCGGTGACAGCGTTAGCGGTTTACCGGTAATCACACAACAGCGCGACAAGTGCTTTCCTAACGGGCTCTTTACGGAGGTACGACCGGCAAGTGCCAGGGGGGTCGTCAGGCACCACCAGCACTCTGACGTGCACTAATGAAATGGGGCGAAAGTAGCAAAACAGAAAACAACTTCTGTGTGTGGCGAGGGCTTTTATTTCCTCTCTCTTCCCTAGTGCATAACGCCAGGGGAGGGTCAGGCACCTGCTCCCGCGCTCCCAGCGCCTCCCTCTTCCTTATCCCCCCCTCGCGGCACCGAGACGCAGGCGCCGCGGCCGGATATGACTTCACTTTAAATCTCCGGGAGGAGGGGGGGGAAGGGCGCGCAGTCACTCTTTAACTCCGCCGCCGCCGCCCGCCGCGCCCTGGGCCCGCACTCACTCACCTTCAGGTGCCGGTGCCTGCCGCCTCCGCCGGCTGGGCCCCCAGCTCGCTCGGCGTCCCCGGTGGCCGCCCTGCCCGTTCCCCCGAGGGGCGGTGGGAGAGCCGGGAGCGCGGCGGCGCCGCCAGGGCTGAGGGTCACGTTGTGGGCATTCTCTCCCCAGCGCCAGGGGTAGACCATAAAGTCGCTGAAGCCGGGGCTGTTCGGGACGGGCGGGGCGGGCGCCGGCTCCTCGCCGGCTGCCGGTGAGGATGGTTTGATCGGTGTCGTTTTGATAACGGAAACCAGAACGCGCTTCGGGGAGTCCTGGCAAAAAATCACCGGGGGACCAGGCGGCAGCCGCTCCGCCATCGCCAACCCCTCGCGGCCACCGGCGCCAGGAAGGGGGTGAGGGAGCGGTGGCTTAGCCTCGCTGACTCCGCGTCCCGGGATAGGGAAGGAGGTGTGGAGCGGCACGGATGTCCAGCGGCCACCGCTCGGGCCCACCTCAGCCGCTCATCGCCGGGGACGGCAGCTCCCGGCGGGGTCTCGGTGCCTTCCTCCCCTCCGCGGCCACCCCCGAACGGATCCGCAAAGTCAGCGGCAGCCCCAGGCCATAGCAGTGGCCGGACTGAAGCAGCCGCAGCCTCCCCGCACCTTTCCGAAGCGGCGCCGACTCCGCTAGCAGTCCCGGTCCCGAGGAGGAGCCGCCGCCACCCCTGCGCGCCCACACCCCAGGCCGAGCCCCAGGTTTTCCCGCGTTACGTTTCGCGCCAGAGCGTAACCAATCACCCACCCCGGCGCCAACGTCACGGACCGGCGGTTCCCGCCGACCAACCGCTAGGAGGGGAAGCAGCTGGCCACGCCCCCCGGGGCGGTGTTCGAGCGGGACGCAAGTTCTCTTCTGCCGCCCTATTGGGCAGGCTCCCGGCTCACCGGCGGAGTTCGAAACTGAGCCCCGCCCCGCCGCGGCTGCCCGCCCTGGGGGAGGTGCTGACTGGCCCTCCGTGGGGGGCTGACGCGCCCTGGCGGGTTTCGCGCGCCCTAGCGGCGGCCGCGGAGTTTAAAGGGGCCGCCTCCCGAGGCAGCGCCCTAGCGGGGCCGGGTTCGGTTTTCTCCGCCCTTCCCCTTCAGCGGCTCTGCCCGCAGCGCCGGTAGCGCGCTTGCCGGCAGGGAGGGCTCCCCAAGTGAGGAGGCGGCAGCTGCGCTTGTACCGCTGGAGGGCGCTGTGGTGCGGCCATTATGGCTTTTGCGAAGAGTTGGAGGGGAGTGCCTCTGCGACCCGCAGGCGGGCTGCCAGGGTCCGGCCTGTCCCGCTGGGCACAGCCAGTGTACCTGTGGGGCAACAGGCACCGTCCCTAAGTCTGAAAGAAGAGGGAAGCGGCTGTGCCAAGCGGCTGCCAGGGCTGGCCCGGGTCGGCAGGCCACCATGGGCCACGGCTCGGGAATCCTAGGAGTCTCCTCAGGCATGAGATAGTAAAAGTTTGTGCCAGTTACCAATTTGTGTATTACTGTTTGAGGGGGTGTTGGTGTGTGGGTTGTTTTGTTGGTGTTTTTGTTTGTTGTTTTCCTTGTTTGTTTCCCAGTCTAATGTAGTTGCTCAGGTACTTGCACTGCAATTACCAAAACGGCATCTTAACTGATAGCGGAATAGACTCCACAACTTGGTTAAAGTTGTAAAGTAGGTATGCTTTATTCAGGTGAAGACGCACGGGGGATTGGTCCTCCAAAAGGCATGCGTGCCTCAGTGCCGTTTTCCTTTTACATTTATCCTGTAAAGTCATACATAGGTATTAGGTCGCACAATACGCCTATACATATTCATATTCTATCCCCGCTTCGTATTATAATGAGCTAAAAGGCGCTCCACACATGCGCAGTGCCTCCTGGTGGTCTTGGGCAGGGGTCTTCAGATGAAGTAAGTAGTCTTCCTCTTGTGGGTAGGGGTCTTCAAGATGAAGTAAACGAGTCTTCCTCAGGCTTGAACTTTTTACCTCTGGTCCTCACGCATGCTCTTTAGGAGCTGGATGGGTCTGGTCCATGTCTAGCTGGTTTAATGGGCTATTCCCTTCGCTAGGAAGCCTTATCTTAGTGCTGTCTGATAAGGCAACTGCTGGGCTTGTCAAGCCAGCCATGATTTAAGCAGTACTCCTTGTACAACCCCCATTCTCCTCACTAGGAGGTTTTGTTCTGGTATTTGTCTGCTAAGACATCTGCTGAGCTCATTAAACCAGCTATGACTTAAGCAGTACCCCCCTGTACATTTTGACAACCCCCCTGTACATTTTGACAACCCCCCTGTACACAATAGGCCACATCAGTTTCAATTCCCCCCTTTTCTATAACATAAGTAAATTCTTTTACTTAAGAGATACCCAGGTGCCTTCAATGGATTTGCGAAACATATTCGATACACATTGGATTAAGCATGGAATTGTCATTAAGACTAAAAGAACTACAGCCAGAATCCAAATCTCTTGTTTGATTAACTCCTTAATCCACCCTGTAATCCCAAACCCATTCAACCAATCATCCAACCCTCCATCAACTTGCAATTTCTTTAGCTGTTGTGCTGTCCAACATGCGAGGCGATGGATATCTGCCAATGCTTTTCCAGCTGTTACGTTTAGTAAAAGCAGTGCAGCAAAGAATCGCTTTGTATGGCCCCAAATCTTTAATGTGGGGTCACATTTAGGGCCTAGGGCTTTGATTATATGTTTTTTAGAAGCTGCAAACAAGGACAATTTTCCTAAATAGCATGGTCCCCCATGCGGCTTAGAGGGTATTCCTGGCCATGCACGGTCTCCGCATATCAAGAAATAACCTGGGGGTAGTGCCTTAGGGGTGATAACATCATATGGGAGTGAAGGAGAAGACCCAAGACAATATGAGGTAACATTATGATACCAGTCTTTCCTACTAGTCACTTTAGTTTCTGGAGTTTCATCTGACCAAGAATTGAATGTTATACAGCTCTGATTACTTTGGTCAGACCCCAGAAGTCGGAGTTCCTGAATTGGGATGGTTGAACAATTTAGTCCTTTTATAATTCCTCTTGTCTGAACAGATGCAACTGTCCAATCGCCTGAAGTTCTCTTAACTACTCTGGTTACTACTGTAAGGTTCAAGACTGAATCATTCTTCACCCATCCATACTTAGATAAGGAACTCCGATTACACACGTTTGGAATGGGTTTCCTACTTGTGTGAGTGATAAACAAAAATCAGTAACACCAGTTCTATTTGCCCAAGTAAGCTAAACATTTGTCTCTACCTAATAATGGTAACATTTTGTCAAGACTTTGTGTGACCCCTAGAATCACAGTTAATCCTGTAATTATTTTCATCATTCTTTGACCTCTCACTGGTTATAATTGCAAACAAGAGAGAAGTATTAAAGCTTTAAACAAGAAGGTTAAAAATATCATCAACACAGTCTTATCAATTTGCAGTGTTACTTGTTACGAATTAGCTTTAGTTTCAGTTCATTTTCAGTTTGGATCGCTCTCCAGGGTGTCTTCGGAGCTTTCTTAACTCGAGTATGATGAATCCAGGCGTTCTGTTCCTTAATCTTGATAGCTGTGAATGTAGTTAACAACACCTGGAATGTCCCTTTCCATCTTGGCTCGAGATCATCATCTCCTGTAGGTCTGAAAGACTTTACATACACATAATCTCCAGGCTGTATATTGTGTACCGAGCTGTCCAACCCTCTGCTTCGAGTTCCAGCCACATGTTTTTCAATTCTAGTAAGCTGCTTTCCTAACTCTATTATATAGGTGTTCATGGTTTCTTCTCCCGCTTGGGGAGACATTCCCTGTTGAACCCCATATGGCCTTCCATATAAAATTTCGAAAGGACTCAGTCCTTCTCGTGCTCTTGGTTTAGTTCGAATTCTCAACAAGGCCAATGGAAGGGACTGGGGCCAAGGTAGCCTGGCCTCCTGACCCAATTTCACAATTTGTTGTTTGATTAAATGATTTCTACTTGTCCACTTGATTGTGGATGATAAGGGATATGAAGTTGCCAATCAATTCCAAGATATTTGCTTACTTGCTGTACCACATTTGAAATAAAATGTGGCCCTCTATCTGAAGATATTATGGCTGGAACTCCAAAGTGTGGTATTATCTCCTGTAACAATATTTTGGTCACTTCTCGTGCCTTTGCACTCCTAGTTGGAAAGGCTTCTGGCCAACCTGAAAAGGTGTCTGTTAATACTAACAAGTATCTGTACCCCCCTTTTCTCGGCAGTTCCATGAAATCGATCTGCCATTGCTGTCCTGGTCCATTACCCTTTCCAATTTGACCCATTTTGAGCTTGGGTATAATTTTGGGATTTGTCCTAAGGCAAAGATCACACTGGCGAGTTACCTGTTGAATGGTGGCATATAACTTTCTAGCCATAATCTTGCCTATTAAATGTTTATGTAAGGTCTCGGCTCCCCAGTGTGTTTTCTGATGTTCATTCTGTACTAAAGACCATAACATTGATAAGGGAACAATTACCCTTCCTTGTGGTGTGCTGGCCCACCCTTCTTCACTGAATATTCTGTTTTGATCTGCAATCAATTTTTGATCTTCCTTATTATAATTTGGCTTACCTTCTAAGGAAACTTTCCCATCAGGGATCAATGCTCCTTCAGTTGGTACCTCACCTTTTGCTGCTTCTTTTGCCTCTCTGTCCGCCAGCTCATTTCTCTGACTGGCTTCATGGAGAGGGAGGCAAAAGAAGGCGTCCTTTAGATCTAAAACAGTAAACCAAGTTAGTTCTGGAATTAAGCAAGTCAGTAGCGTGTATGGATTTGCTACCACCGGGTAAAGATCCTCAGTGATCTTGTTGACAGCTCTCAAGTCCTGTACCACCCGATATGATCCATCAGGCTTACGGACTGGTAACATAGGGGTATTAAAATCAGATTGACATTCTTTTAATAATCCTAACTGTAAAAAGTTTCCAATTATTGGACAAATTCCCTCCCTATCTTCTTTTCTTAGAGGGTATTGTTTAATCCTAACTGGCTGTTTTCCCTCCTTGAGCTTAATCTGCATTGGGGGTGCATTTCTGGCTTTCCCGGGTATGTTTGTAGCCCATACTCCCGGGAATACTTGATCTAATATATCTTCCCTAACCTTCTCTTCTGTCTGGTGTGTGATCAGTTTTAAGCTTAACATTTTTACGTATTGCTGATCATTTACTTTCAAGGTGATATCGCCTTCTTTGAAGGCAATAATGGCCCCCAGTTGTTCCACCAAATCTCTCCCCAGGAGAGCCTTTCCAATTGGTATTTCAGTGGCTTACAAAAATATGCCTTTTCACTTTGGCCAGTTGCCCCTTTCACAGTAACATAGTCTCTCCCTACAGGTATCAATGCCTTATTCAGAGCCGAATATGTTGCCCCAGTGTCTACTAAAAATTCCACTTTATTTCCTCTAGTCCATAGTTTTAATTTAACCAGTGGATCCGCTAGGGAGGATTCCCCAGGTCCCTTGTCAGCCTAGTTCCAATTCAGCCACTGGAGCCACCCCATGGCACTCTCTCCCCCTCCAGGGCAGTCAGTTTCAAAGCACTTCTGTCCACATCTATTCAACAACCCCTCAGTCCCGTCTGTCAACATGTCTGTTCCCACTTGTTTACCTGCCCCAGCACCCATCCCGTGCTCAAACACAGGAGCTGCGCGAGCTCCCCTCCTTTCCACTTGGTTTCCTTTTTTTTTTTTCCCTCACAGTTGCTCCCCCTGCTCTGCAGAGGTTTCAGATGCCTGCCGCTGCAGCAGCACTTCCAGTTTAACCCTTTCTTAACTCTGAATGTGAATGTGCTGCTTGTCGCAGGTGACAGCAATCTCCTCCTCCTTATCAATATCTGATAGGACAGATATAGAGGGTGCTCCTCTCAGAGGTATGTGATACATAATTTTCCTATTTATAACTTTCAAACATCATTCCCCAATATCCCAGGCCGAACAACATCTCTCCAGCTTAGCTTCCAGTTTTTCCTTGTCCTTTTCCAGAGCCAAAATTAGGGATCTGGCAGAGCTATATTAATTTCACATTCTGCCTGCCACTCCGGGTGATCTCCCACAGTGAAAAACATATTTGTATACAGCACTTAATCCCATTTTCCTGGCAACCTCAAAACCAACATTCATTGTAACAATGTATTATAATTCAGAGTTCCATTTTTAGGCCATTTCTCCTGATCTTCCAAAGCATATAAAGGCCGCCATTGGTTACAATATTTTATCAATGTTTTCTTGCTTACCGAGCCCCCAGAAGACCCTCACCAGTTCTTTCCAGTGTGCCAAAATGTAACCCAATGGGCTTTTCTTCAGAATTCCCTTGTTTTGACCGGCTCCCATTTCAAACAATCTTTTACAAATCTCTGCAGCTTCTCTTTCCCAGTGCTCTGCAAATGCACTTAAAAAAATATGAGAGCACCTACACAAGAATTTTATGATATTCTCAGGGGGTTCAGTAAAATGATACCTTTGGGCTCTGCAGATCAACTCCCCTGTTGTTAGATCACAGTTTCGGTTCCATCAAAATTTACACTGTCCTAGTGTCCACGGCAGGTTCCACTATTCAAAAGTTATTATGCACCCATATGTGAGGCTACAAGCCTCTGGTACCGAGTGTAAAGTTCAGGTCTCAAGAGTAGGATTATAGACATTAGAGGCTATACTTCTGTTATACAGCCACTGGGGCGCAGAGGGAACTCTTCTTAACACACACCCCCCAGTAGCAACAGTTTACTTTTGTCTACTGCTCCCCCACCGCTTAAGCACTGTAATCTTTTAACAGCAACGACAGACATATTCGCACACAAAACATTTAGACACAACACAGAAGACACTTTGTCCGTCCCCGCCCGCTCTCCTCGCGGAGGACACGGAACTGCGGATCGGGAGCCGAAACACAACACAAAACAAAAACACCTTGTCCGTCTCCGGCCGCTCTCCTCGCGGAGAACACGGAACCGCGGATCGGGACTCCGCACTCGCTTCGTAGCTACGCTACGTCTCAGTCACACAAACACAAACCACTTGCACTCGGGATCCCCCACACTTACACCAGTTTACTCACCACCAGATGCCACTTGCACCCTTCAGTGAGCCCGGAGCTCCTTTTGGATTCGTCCCATACATCCGCAGACGAATCCCTAGACTCACCCGACCCACCACCAGGGTCGCTAGCGGCAGCTCTATCGGTCGATGAGTCCCTTGCTTGCAAGCCCTACCTACCAAGGGGACAGCGCTGTGCGCCAGACGTCTCTGAGCGCCTTACCAGCAGCCCCGGCCACGCGTACGCCTTACAGGCCTTTACCAATCCTAGGACAATTACAAACCTAAATTCCAAGCATACCGTTTCTCCGCAGCCGACACAGGTTGTTGTCTGTCCCTGCAGTGAGCCGACGAGGAGTGGAGCCCCTCCAGGCAAGTGGCCTGGGGCGCCTAGGAGGTCCGCCCCTCCGCCGATCCTGCAGCCGAACAGAGATCTCCTGGCTGGCTCGCCAAATTGATAGCGGAATAGACTCCACAACTTGGTTAAAGTTGTAAAGTAGGTATGCTTTATTCAGCTGAAGACGCACGGGGGATTGGTCCTCCAAAAGGCATGCGTGCCTCAGTGCCGTTTTCCTTTTACATTTATCCTGTAAAGTCATACATAGGTATTAGGTCGCACAATACGCCTATACATATTCATATTCTATCCCCACTTCGTATTATAATGAGCTAAAAGGCTCTCCACGCATGCGCAGTGCCTCCTGGTGGTCTTGGGCAGGGGTCTTCAGATGAAGTAAGTAGTCTTCCTCTTGTGGGTAGGGGTCTTCAAGATGAAGTAAATGAGGCTTCCTCAGGCTTGAACTTTTTACCTCTGGTCCTCACGCATGCTCTTTAGGAGCTGGATGGATCTGGTCCATGTCTAGCTAGTTTAATGGGCTATTCCCTTCGCTAGGAAGCCTTATCTTAGTACTGTCTGATAAGGCAACTGCTGGGCTTGTCAAGCCAGCCATGATTTAAGCAGTACTCCTTGTACAACCCCCCATTCTCCTCACTAGGAGGTTTTGTTCTGGTATTTGTCTGATAAGACATCTGCTGAGCTCGTTAAACCAGCTATGACTTAAGCAGTACCCCCCTGTACATTTTGACAACCCCCCTGTACATTTTGACAACCCCCCCTGTACATTTTGTCTAACCCCCTTGTACACAATAGGCCACATCAGTTTCATTAACCACTTATATTTCCAGCCTGCATCCTTTGAAACGGAGGCCCAGCCCAGTTCTGCACCCCGCTAGCACAAACTGTGCATACAGGGCGGCTGCCGGTCCGTGACCACGGGAGATGGGGAGGGGGGGGCGGTTGGGGGGGGGGTGGTAGTGCCGGTGCTAAGTCATCTGTGTGGGTAAGAGGTGCCTGGCTCGTGCGACACAGATGCCGTGGTAGCGAGGAATGGTTTGGGAATACGGTGGCACACACCGGTTTGGCTTTGGCTGGTAGAAATACTAAAAAGAACACCATAAATTTCCAGAACTACATGACTCACGCTTTGAGTAGTACACGTGGTTGCAGAGGTACTCCACTGACAGCAGGAACTAATGCTACGATCCAGTATGTAAGATTGCCTATATTGTGAACAGCGCAATGCTTTGCAAGCCCAAACCAGAATGGTTTGGATTGGAGGGGACCTGTAGTGTTGTAAACCCAGGTGGCAACTCAGCACCACTCAGCTGCTCACTCACTCCCGCCCCTTCCACCTTCCTTGGGTGGGATGGGGAGAGAATAGAAGAACGTAAAACCCACGGGCTGAAATGAGAACTCGGTAATAATTTAATAACTAGAATAAAGTGAAATATATTTTAATAGCTAAAGTGAAATATAGTGATAATACCAACAATAACTTATTAGTGTATATAAATATATAAAGGGGGAGTGTCACGAGGATGGAGCCAGGCTCTTCTCAGTGGCAAACAATGAAAGGACAAGGGGTAATGGGTACAAATTGGAACACAAGAGGTTCCACTTAAACCTGAGAAGAAACTTCTTCTCAGTGAGGGTGACGGAACACTGGAACAGGCTGCCCAGGGAGGTTGTGGAATCTCCTTGTTTGGAGACATTCAAGACCCGCCTGGACACGTTCCTGTGTAACCTTATCTAGGTGTTCCTGCTCCGGCAGGGGGATTGGACTAGATGATCTTTTGAGGTCCCTTCCAATCTTTAACATACTGTGATACTGTAATACCAGTACTTATAATAAGAGGAAACAGCAAGAGAAAAAATGAAAGCTCAGAAAACAGCAGTGATGCACAATACAACTGCTCACCACCTTCTGACCAATGCCCAGTTCAAGCAGTGATCAGCTCCTTCTGGGTCACTTCCCTCAATTTATGTACTGGGCATGATGTGCTGTGATATGGAATACCCCTTTCGCTGGTTAGGGTCAGGTGTCCTGTCTCTGCTTCCTCCTGGCTTCTTGTGTCCCTCCTGACTGGCAGAGCACGAGAGACTGAAAAGTGCTTGATCAGTGCTATTTTTGACTATCTCTCAGGGAATTTTTATATATATATATTATAGACTCATAGAATAGTTAGGGTTGGAAAGGACCTTAACATCATCAAGTCCCAACCGTGGGCAGGGACACTTCGCATTAAATCGTGTCACCCAAGGCTCTGTTCACCCTGGCCTTGAACACCGCCAGGGATGGAGCATTCACAGCTTTCTTGGGCAATGCATTCCAGTGCCTCACCACCCTCACAGTAAAGAACTTCTTTCTTATATCTAACCTAAACTTCCCCCGTTTAAGTTTTAACCCTTTACCTTGTCCTAGCACTGTTACCCCTAATGAAGAGTCCCTTATTATTTTTCTCTTTTGAAACTTCGTGAAAACAAAGCCAGATTCCACAAAACACCATATCTCTAGTCTTGTTGCTGGAATGTTTCTGAATTCCTATCCAAAGATGACCTTCAAAACACCTGTTGAAGCTGCAAGCACATTGTCTGCAAGTCAATAAAAACACCCTTTTGTATGCCGTTTTTCATATATAGTATAAATCCAGGAGGCTTTAATTCATATTTGTAAAGTGTTTCAAATAAAAATAAGGTTTCAGAAATTTCTAAAAAGCTTTCTGTATCCAGTGTTTGCTGAGGAAATGTAGTATGGATGCTGTGATTGATACCAAAAGGCTGCACAAAGGCCTGTAAAGATTTGGTTGTTTTGTTATGTGTTGTGGTAATGTGGTGATATTAATCTATTTCCACTGAATAAAACAGGATAAAGTAGTTTTCTAGTTACTTCTTTTCACTGAAAATGCATGTAGTTTCATCTTGCTACAAAATAAAGCAACTATTCAGAGGCAAGTACAGTTGATCTGGATAAACATTTCTTTTACAGTATTTTATTGTTGTGTCATATTCATAGAAGTACCTTCAGAAATTCTTAATTTGTTGTTAATTATGGCTAGCTATTTTTTACAATTTAAAAACTGTGCAGAATTAATAATATATTCTCTTTGAAGAATTAGAATTTCCTTATTCAGTTTGAAGCATGTCAGAGCCTAGGAGCTTTGACTTGACCACCAGGATTTTGTAAAGGTGTTCATGAGCAGACAATAGCCCTAACTTAGTTGCTGTCATTATTTCCATTGATAGAATCATAGAACAGTTTGGACTGGAAAAGACTTTAAAGACCATCTAGTTCCAACCCCCCTGCCATGGTTGTGATTTCACAAATGAGGATCAAGCTGTAAGAGGGCAGAGTATAATGAAATCATTTTTATTCTGTAGCAAGCAAGCCCTGCATATGTGGGTCTATGTGAAGGCTAGGGGAGATGAAGTGATTATGTTCGAGAGTCAGAATAGCAGGTGGCGGATATGCTGTGTACTTTGACCTATCTGCAGTCCAAGACAGAGGAAGGTGGTTGTTATGCTGCCAGTGCTGTCTCTGATTAGAAGCTTTATGAAGCGTAGCGCAGAGTCTGATTTACTTTCAAGGACTTGTGCTAAGGATAATATTAATTTCAAGGCAAGGTAGGATATATAGTGAAGTTATCATAATAGAGGAACTGCTAAATTTCTGATGAATGACAAGAATAAAAACACAGTGTAACCACAGAAATAACACAGCTTAACCACAAAAAAATATCAACTGCAGTTGGCATTCTTTAGGTGAATGCGTCTGAAAGGCTGAGATTTTTGCATCATGTGTTTGGGGTTGCTGTAGCTGATGGAGGAGGTAGGTGTGGTTTGCCTGCACAATTGCCTGTCCGCTGAACGCTGTGAATGAACCTTGTTGAGTCTCCAGGGGTTTGTGCTGTTGGTTTTCAGAGTTGGGAAAAGGATTTGCAGCTCAGTCCAGGCATTGCTGGCACTGACCCACATGGCTCCTACGGTCATAGGGTGCCTGCATGTACACTCTCGCATCATACGAGGCTTAGTGATGGCTTGGGGGCTCTGCTGGTTTTGCTGAACAGAGCAGCTTTCCATGTTAGACTCTAGAACCTGTATGTCTCACCCTTGTGCTGCATTTGTAAGTTGTTATGCCGGCTGGGGTCCACCAATGTAAGGAACCAACACCACCGCAGTTTTAAGCGGAAAGAGGCAATTAAAACACTTCGAGGGAATACCAGGTAAAATTGTGAAAGCGTGCTGAGTGCTTGAAGCAGAGTTGCACTGAGAGCTCCCAGTGCAGCGTTTCATTAAAGTCAGCCGTTACTGGATGTGGATTGTATCAGAAGACCCGTGGGACAGTTATGCGAAGACATCACATTACAGACTCTTACTGAAGAGCCTACCCAGGCACGCACTTACAGAGGCTCTTTGCCAGCCCCCTACCACCAACGGGCAGCGCGCGAACGCAGCTTGAGCAATGCCAGGGCTCATGCATAACTAATACTGCCGGGCTCCCTGAGCAGCACACCCAATTGGTCAGCGCCCATTATTGACGGTGCAGGAGCTGCACGCTAATTTGCGGTAGCAGCGCGTCAGGGGCGGGGCGAAGCCTAAAGGCGCTATTGCGGATTGGTCGCTCGCTCTTGCCGTTATTTCGCACTATTGGTTGCGTCTATCGCTGTGGGTGGGCCCGACGCCGCCGATAGGTGGCGATTGCGGCTCCGCTCGCAGCTGCGGAGTTTCATTGGTTTCGCGGCTCGGTGAAGGGCGGGGCACCGGCACCGGTAATAGCAATGGAGCGTTGGCTCGGGTAGTGCTGCTCCGGTGCCGGGCTCGGAGCGGTAGACCTCTGGGTGCAGTGCTCCGTGGTCACCTCAGCTGCAGCCCCGGAGCGGACCGCGGTTAGGGAAGGGGATAGGGTCAGTTGTCCGCAGCGATGATGAAGGGGACAGTGAACAGTCCGGTGGCTGCCTTGATGCAGGAGAGCTTTGGCTGCACCATCGCCAACCGCTTCTACCAGCTCCTGGACGACGAGTCTGACCCCTTCGACATCCTGAGCGAGGCCGAGCGCCTTCAGCACCAACGCAAGAAGCAGCAAGAAGAGGCGGCGGCGGCAGCCGTCAGGACTGCCGGTCCCGGCGGTAGGGCGGGCGGCGGCAAGAGGGTGTCCCAGAAGCAGCGCAAGCAGCCCGGGAGTCCCCCTGCGCCCTCGGGACAGCCGGAACCCGGTACGGCGGCGGGGATGGGATTGGGGGGGTTGGGGGGGCTTCGGCGGGGCGAGCGGCCCGGCAGCCGGTGTTCTGTGGGAGTCGGGTGCCGGTGCAGGCAGAGGGCCCTGCAGCGTGGCGGGGGTCGCGGCTGGCCCCGCTCCTGCCCTGCTTCTCTTCAGCCATCCTGGCGTTCCGCCGCTTGTGGTTGCGGTAATGAGAAGATCCATTTCATTGGGTTGTCGTTGTGAGTGGGTACCTGAAAGTCCCCTTGAAGAGACAGGGACAGCTGGGCGTCACTGCGGAGTCTTGCTGCGAGGCTCGTCGTGAGAGCTTTCCCATCCTACCCGGGGGGCTTCGGAAGAGCAAATGAGAACTTCGGAAGCAGAGCTAAGAGAGATGGAAGAGCATTAACTCTTCCACCGCGGCACCTGTAGTTTTCTTGCTGGTTTAGCATCCCTGATGATGCATTTCGTCAGTGGCCGTTTACCTTTGGTGTCTGATGCCTGCAGACTTGTTTTCTTGGTCCCTCTGAGTCTTCTGGTACTTTAGCTTCCTCAGGGTTATAATATGCCCTTGAATCTGAGCTTAGTTTGCCTTAAGCTTGCATTGTTGCACAAACATTTGAATAAAAACTTATCTGCTAGAAGAACTCTTTAGCACGGTGTTGAGGAATAGTCTAGGCTGTTTGTCAGCTGCAAGGTTGTGATGCAGAATGTTGCTTCAAGGGAATAGGGAGCCATTCGGCTTTTGTAACAGAATGTTTGTCACAGTTTTCTTTGTAGCTGAAGGCTTTGCTGGGCAATGTCTACTCGCAATTGGAGTCTTCTTGTGAGTCTTACTGTTATTACTTACCTGGTATTGAGCCCCAGGCTGCTGGATTCAGTATCTAAAGTATTTGAAGTCTGCACACTGTGTCCAAAAACTCTGGTTTTACCCTCTTGAGTTGTAAATTCCCATTCACGTGCCGCAGGCATTGGAGCTTAACACATAAGATACTGATCTTTTCCTGTAGTGAAAGCTCCTGTTAAATTCATAGTAATTGAACTGTGTTTTTTTAATTCCCTAGAAAAAGGTGTGGCTTTTCAGTCTGGGTTATTGCTCCATCAAGACATTGCCAATGTTACCGGTTCTTATTGCTTAGACTTACAGCCTTACGCTGTTCCAACAGCAATTATTTCACCTTGTGCAGCAGAGACTTTTTTCAGTGCCAAATAAGCACTGGTTAATGTTCATCTTTGCAGAGGATGGTCTTAACAAATTGTCACTGCCCCTTTGGACAGTGGTATGAAGCTTGCCTTTTAAGATTCCTCTGTGATTGTTATGTGACTTTGGCACAGATCTCTGCCTGTAAGACCAATAATCACTCTGGTAGCAGGCTTATTTTACTTAAGGGATACTTCGCTGTGGATATTAAACAGAGGTGAAGAGGCCTGTTCAGTGAACCTCAAAGTCTCAAGTTTTGATGAAAAAGTTCTTGAACAAGGGCTGGTGGTTATTGGTAACCTGCCAGGAGTGTTGGAAGTATGTGAAGAGCATCTTTTACCTGCCACTTGTCTATAGCTATCTTAAGCACACAGGTTCTGAGTGTAATTCTGTGATAGTACACTAACTCTGTGGAGTGGTTTTGACTGTTTTCTAATACCTTGATATTAAGAAACCTAGTTTCTCATATGGGGAGATGAGGCACACATGCCTTGTTTTATCTGGTCGCTTGCTAATTTAAAATGGAGAAAAGACCAGTGACTTACAGTAGTCTCTGTGACTTGTGGATGAATATCTATTTGAAGAAGAGTTATTTGCTGTGAAAAAAAATGCCACACGTTCTTTACAGAAAGTGGCTACCCTGGATTTTGCATTTGCTGTATGTTTGTGTCTTGAGGTTGTTGTGAAGTAAGGTTTGCAAATGTACGGTACTCAGGATGTAAAACCTGGGTGGAGAGTTGATACTTGCTCCTGCCTGCGTGTGTCTCCTGTGGAAGTAGTGTCTTAGTGACTCTGCTCTGAAGGACAGCTCACCCTCTGACTTCGGGCAAATACAGTGATGACATAGCTGGCAAACATAAAGCATGTGGGGGGGGATCTGGTGGGGGTTTTTTGTTTGTTTTTAAGGCAGGGGCAGCTTTTTATTTAGGCCATACAAAATTGATTTGTTATACAGGATTCAACCGGAAAACTTCTGGGTACAGTAGAAGATACCAGCTTAGTGGCTGAGAATGAGTGCTCACTCAGGAAGGTCCTCATACCAGCTCAGTTTGACATAAAGCTTATAATGGTAGATGCATTGCTAGAGCAGTACTTCTCTGTTTGGGGAAATAGAGCATATTGATTGAAATGATGAAACCTTGATGCTCATCACTAAACGTTTATTAAAAAAAAAAAAAGTCCAGATTTTGGGCATAACTCCCTCTAACTTCATTTCACTGATTAGGAATTAAAGACCATAAAAAAGAATCTAGACCCATCTAAACAGCTGAATCAGAATATGGTATTGTGGTTGAAATGACAAAATTCAGTCTGTATTGTATTCACATTCATAGAATCATCACAGATCAGCTCAGGTTGAGTGGGACCTCAAAGGATTGCCTGGTCCAAGCTTTCCTGGGAAAGGCGGCCTAGAAGGGATCATCTAGCATCCTGTCTCATTGCGTCTGGAAAACCTTCAGTGATGGGGACTCCACCATGGCTCTGGTGGGGTTGTTCCAGTGAATGATTGTTATAAATTTCTTTCTGGTAACTGAGATGAAAACTCTCCTCAGCAGCTTGTACCTGTTGCCCCTTGTCTTCTCCATATGGGTTCTTGTGAAGATAGAAGCCTTCACCCTCTCTGCACTATGTAGCTGCCCTTCAAGTACTGGAATAGTGTGATGTGTGCCCCAGCCAAGCCTTCTCCAGGGAGAAGAGACCTAACTCCTTCAGCCTTTACTCATAGGGCAGCCTTTCCAGCCCTTTGATCATCTTCATGGCCCTCCACTGGACCACCTCCACTGTTTTTTCTCATTACTGGGCACTTTGCTTTTTTGGGTTACAAAAAGGCTTTTAGAAGTTTCGCAATTTTTGTTTTATTATTGTATTATTTTTTGAGCATATTAAATCTGAACAAAATAGTCTTTACCTTTAGAGAGACTTGAAGCAGGCCTAGTCTTTGATCTTGAAATAGAGAAAAGGTTTTACAGTAGTCTGAGAGGCTTCTTTCAGTATTATGTTTTGAAGTTTGAGTGGAAGGTTTTCTCGCAAAGCTCTGTGAGTCGATATTTATTGTTATATTTTTTTTAGTTAATTCTTCACTGCCTTTTCTAGGGGAGTTTTTACTTATTTTCTAGAGATGTTTTCAGTTTGAAACAAGCCTCCCAAGTGGACTTTGCCAGATAATCCAGTACTTTGACTTGTAGAATCCAAACTATTTATTATGAATTGACACAACTGACTATTTTTGAATCTATCTTTAAGGAGAAAATGGATTCATATTCCATAGCCCATCAAAACCTATACTTTTCACTTTAATCATCATAGAATCATAGAATAGTTAGGGTTGGAAAGGATCTTAAGATCATCAAGTTCCAACCTCTGTGTCATGGGCAGGGACACCTCACACTAAACCATGTCACCCAAGGCTCTGTCCAAACTGGCCTTGAACACCGCCAGGGATGGAGCATTCACAACTTCCTTGGGCAACCCATTCCAGTGTCTCACCACCCTTACAGTAAAGAACTTCCTCCTTATATACATGATGTATTTCTTTCTCCCTTACTGACTGTGGTGTTCAGTGATTTTTATACTGTGTGGTAAGGATTTGGGTAAAGGCTGTTTGTAGGTACTACAGCTCTTATAATTGTACCTCTTACTCTTAACTCAGTACTCATTCTTAGCACAGTGGCCAAACTGCAATTGCCAGCTCTTTGTTCAAAAGGCCCAGTTGCAGAGTTTGCATTCTTTAGCAGTCCAGGCAAATTAAATGTGTTGATCATGCAGTAATAAGCTCTTTTCTGTTGAAATCTCTAAACCTTTATTGCTGATACCTCTAAAAGTTTTTCTTCTTTCATGTAAATTTGATGATTCGTGTAACATTTAGATGGAATACTGTATGTTTGAGTTTTTAGCTACAGTTTTAAAAATTAATATGACGTGCAATGTTTTGGGGGAATTTATCTTGTACTGATTGCAATTTTCATGTTTTAAATAACTTCTTCCAATAGCATTCTTTCAGCTACATAGTCATAAGGTTGCCCAGAGGAAAGCTACAGTAGGCAATTCTGTGATTGAGTACTGGCACACGTGAAACCAAAATGTGCCACAGAATGGAGTCTTAACTGCATGCGTCTCTTTTTGGTGTGGTATATGCAGTAGCTGAAGCCTTTTTGTGTGTGTGTTTTCAGATACAGGAGTATTATTCTGCAAATCATATAATTAGCCATGCTTTAGTTTACAAAATCAATAGCTTGAAGTTTGAAATCCAAATCACATGAACACACACATGCGAAGGGGAGGAGGTAAGATTGTCTGTGCAGTCTTACATCTGCTGCACTCTCAAGTATAGA